AGCAAAACTTTTTTGCAATAGCAGGGAGAGACACATCAGGGTGAACAGGGAGGAACAAGTGTGAGAGGACTGGGGAGGAGCTGCTGGTCAGTACACTTGTCCAGCTGAGCTCCTCTTCACGGCAGCCCATACTATCTTCTTATAAAGAATATTCTTAATGTAAACCATACAGAAAAATGAAGACATCTGTAAGATATATTGCTTTAATACTGTAAACTTATAGATTAAAAAAAAAATTACCACTTAGGAAAATCACATAAGAAACATTTGTCTTCTGTTTGCACACATTTAATGGAATTCTACTCAACTGAGATTCAGGACCCAATCTTTAATAATTACTATAGTCTGCACCACCAGTAATAGCATGATTAGTACATGTTGTGGTTTCGGCCTCAGCTGGCAAGAAAGAACCACGCAGCCACTCGCTCAACCCCCGCAGCTGTGGGGAAGAATTGGAAGAAAAAGGCAAAACATGGGTTGAGATAAAGGCAGTTTAGCAGAACAGCAAAGGAAAGAGAAAAAACAATAATAACACCAATAGAGGAATGCACAAATGCGATTACGGTACCACCTCTCGCCCACAGGACCCGGGAAGCCCCAGCCCAATCCAGCAGTGACTTCCCACCCCTACCTCGGCTAGCTCCCCCTAGCCATGTGGGCACAGCTCACATGGTATGGAATACCTGTGTCCCAGGCCAGATCCCTGGGGAAATTAACCCCATCCCTGACATAACAAGGACATTATCCACCCCTTATTCTATACCATCTACATCATGCCTAGATCTTACCCTTCCCAATTAATTATCACCACTTTTCCCTGTCTCATATATATATGTACATATATACAGATACAGGTTTAATTCCTATAGTCTGTGGCCATCTTTCTGAAGTGTCACAGAATGGGCAGGGTTGGAAGTGACCTCTGGAGATCATCTAGTCCAACCCCCCCACCAGAGCAGGGTCACCCACAGCAGATTGCACACGACTGTGTCCAGGCAGGTTTTAAAGAGTGGGAGACCACAACCTCTCTGGGCAGCCTGTGCCAGTGCTCCACTACCCTCAAAGTAACATGAGGAAGAACTTCTTTAAGATGGAACTTCCTATGTTCAAGTTTATGCCCATTACCTCTTGTCCTATCACTGGGCACCACTGAAAAACAACTGTTCCCATCCCCCTGGCATCCTCCTTTTAAGTATTTATAAGGATTGATAAGATTCCCCCCTCAGTCTTCTTTTCTCTAGACTAAAGAGACCCAAGTCCCTCAGCCTTTCCTCCTACGAAAGATGCTCCAGTCCCCTAATCATCCTTGTAGCCCTTACATTAAATCTGCCTGCACTAACAATTTACGGTGTAGTAAGTTAATAGAAGTTTTTAAAGGCATGTTCCAAATTAACATAAAGATTTCTTGCAAAAAGGATAACCCATTGTTACACACTGCAAAAACACATGCAGTGCCAGCCAAATGCACTGATGATCCAAAATGAAGTCTTTGCCTTGCACTTGTTATACTTTACTCATACACTTTCATCTTGTTAACACTAACCCTGAGCTCTAATGGACAGATTACCTGCATTTGCCGAAGTGGTCCTGCCAACTGCTCTGTCAATTTTGGCATTTCACTGGACTGAAAAAGAAAACATCAAATAATCTCATGCACTCCCATACATTTGCTCTACACCAAATTAAATGCAAAAATAGAAGTTCAGCATGTGCTAGTGCCATCCTAAATTATTTCAATGACTTTTCAAACCTGGTATCAAACACTAAAATTTACTGAATTCCCCAAGTACTTGTTTCTCAAACTAAATCAGAAAAGGAAATCTTTCTGTAGAGTACACCAATAGTATGAAAAAAAAGCACCTGCTTTCTGAATACTTCCAAAATTCCCTCTATTTAGCTGTTCCATAGGTTTGAACTGCCAAATGTCTGATCATTTACTACACCTTAACTGTTACAAGCTTGTCTCCCACTGTACTTTACTCAGTTCCATCAAGGCCCATCTGTCATTAGCCTGGGTAATTCTCAGTGTGGTACAATTGATAGCAATTATAGTAATGATGACATACAGTGGCAGGGTTATTTAGCAATTAACATTATACAATTTGATTCATGGGCTATTCTCACCCAAAATCAGATCCCCATGAGGTACTCATCAGACCTCCCCATCCTTCCACATCACCCACCAAGTGCACCCAGGTCCTTGAGCGAAAGCAATCCCACAGATGGGTTTGCCTTTACCTGAGGCAGGAAGAACCCAGACTGTTTTCTGTAACATATTCTTCACGTGCAGTACAGGGACTTTATCCCCTTCTACCGCAGGTGGAAGTTTTGATTGGGCAGGGCCAGCTCAACTGGCAGATGCCCTGGTGTTAACTAACCAGGTGGCTTTTACTAAATGTGTATCCTAATGTTTTAAGGTCCCACCACCCATTGCTCTCAGTGTAGTCTGTACAATCCATTGTATTGTTCGATCCTCCCCAAGGCTGGTGCATGACAGGAGCTATGATATACCCTCTCAACGCCATGCTCTTTGGCCCAGGTGTCTATAAGGCTGTTTCAGAAATGAGTCCCATTGTCTGACTCATTTCTCTCTGGGGCGCCATGTCGCCATAAGACTTGCTTTTCAAGGCCCAGGATAGTGTTCTGGTCAGTGGAATAGGGCATGTTTCCAGGCACCCAGTGGTTGCTTCCACCACTGTGAGCACGTGGCGCTTGCCTTGGCAGGTCTGTGGGAGTGTGATATAATCAATCAATATAATCATTGCCCTTCACCAGCTTCTGCAACTTGTTGTGTAGGACTGCACACAGCAGCCTTCCACTTCCAATCCTTTCCCAAAATGCAACAGGACCCATCAGTGAACAGGGTGTGTTTCTTCTCATTTTCTGGTAATTTATTATGTGGTGGGGCCTTTTCCACACAAGTCACCTTCTCCTCTGGCGATATTCCAAAATTTTTGCCTTCTGGCCAGTCCATGATCACTTCCAGTATTCCTGGGCGATTGGGGTTTCCCACTCAAGTTCGCTGTGTGATCAGTGCAATCCACTTACTCCACGTAGCATCAGTTGCATATGTGGCAGGGATCCTTTGTTCTAACATCCAGCTCAGCACCAGCAGTTGAGGTGCCAAGAGGAGCTGTGCTTCTGTACCAACCACTGCCAAAGCAGCTCAAACCCCTTCATATGCTGCCAATATCTCTTTTTCAGTTGGATTATAGCAGGCTTTGGATCCTCTGTATCCATGACTCCAAAACCCCAGGGGTTGACTTCAAGTCTCCCTGGTGCCTTCTGCCAGAGGCTCCAGGTAGGGTCATTCTCCCCATCTGTGGTGTAGAGCACATTTTTAACATCTTGTGCTGCCCGGACTGGCCCCAGGGCTACTGCATGAGCTATTTCCTTCTTAATTTGTTTAAAGGCTTGTCATTGCTCAGGGCCCAATTTAAAATTGTTCTTTTTCCAGGTCACATGATAGAGAGAGCTCACAATCAGACTGTAATTTGGGATATGCATCCTCCAAAAACCCACAATGCCTAAGAAAGTAGTAGGCAGTGGAGACAGAGCTGCTATTTTGTTGTTCACATCCATTGGGATTTGGCACCATCCATATTGCCATTTTATTCCTAAAAACTGGATCTCCTGTGTGGGTCCCTTGACCTTACTTCATTGTATGGCAAAACCAGCTTTCAGAAGGATTCAAACTATTTTATTCCCTTTCTCAAAAACTTCTTCTGCTGTGTCGCCCCATACGATATTGTCAGTGTACTGCAGATGTTCCGGAGCTTCACCCTATTCCAGTGCAGACTGGATCAGTTCATGGCAAATAGTAGGGTTGTGTTTCCACCTCTGGGGCAATTCCAGGTATAACTGGACACCCCTCAAAGTGAAAGCAAACTGTGGCCTGCACCCTGCTGCCGAAGGAATTGATAAGAATGCATTGGCAATATCAATTGTTGTATACCACTTGGCTGCCTTCGATTCCAGTTCGTATCAAAGTTCTAGCATGTCTGGCACGGCAGCACTCAGCAATAGTGTGACTTCATTCAGGCCACAATAGTCCACTGTCAGCCTCCACTCTCCATCAGATTTTTGTGCTGGCCATATGGGACCAGTAAAGCATCAGCGGGTCTTGCTGATCACTCCTTGAGTCTCCAGTTGACAAATCAGCTTATGGATGGGAATCAGCAAGTCTCGGTTAGTGTGATATTGCTGCTGATGCACCATTGTGGTAGAAATCTGTGCTTGTTGTTCTTTGACCCTCAACAACCCTACCACAGAAGGGTCCTCCAAGAGACCAGACAAGGTAGACAGCTGTTTAATTTCCTCCATCTCCAAGGCAGCTATGCCAAAAGCCCACCAGTACCGTTTTGGGTCTTTGAAGTAATCCCCCCGAGGTAGTCTTTGCCAAGGATGCATGGAGCCTCTGGGCCAGTCACAATGGAATGCTTTTGCCACTCATTCCCAGTTAGGCTTACTTCAGCTTCCAATAGTCAACTGTTGGGATCCCCCTGTCGCTCCAGAAATATAAATGGGTTCTATCCCTCTATAACTTGATGGTATTAGGGTACACTGCACACCAGTATCCACTAGAGCCTTATACTCCTATGGGTCTGATGTGTCAGGACATCGAGTCCACTCAGTCCAATAAACCCAGTTGTCCCTTTCCCCGACCTGGCTGGAGGCAGGGCCCCTCTAATCCTGGTCACAGTATCTGTTACTTGCTTCTTGTAGAAATGACTTGGAATGCCCTTCAAGGGGATCAGAGGTAGCATCAGGCTTTCTGCTGTCTGGAGAGCTGTCTGCTGCAAACTGGAAGGGCACTTTTCCTGGAGGGATCCTCTTTTGTGACTGTTCTTCCTTCCAACTCATGTACCCGTGCCTGTAGGATCAAGGTAGCTTGTCCTCTGTGGTCTTACAGGTAAAGCCACAGGGTGCCTCATGGTGTGTACTCTCTATACGCTCTCCCTCTTGAGTAGGGAAATGCCTGCTCCTAATAGCTGACATACTGGCCTGTACAGGTGGAGAGTAGGACATAGTCTCTTCAAGTTGCTGGACCTTCTGGGACAGTTTCTCCACAGTTGAGACAAGGGGAGAAGAGAGACTTTCTTCAAATTTCCAGAGCCGACCAGTCACCTCATCCACTGTTGGTCTCTCTTTGCCCTTCCATTCCATCACTGCCAAGGAGCTGGCATACGACAACGGTGCGCTCCCTACAAATTTCTGCCATATGGGCTTTGTCCACTGGACTTCATCAGGATCTGTGGGTAACCGTGTTATCTGGGTCATAGTAAATCATCTCCTGCATGGCCAATTCCCTCCGGTACTGGATACCTTCTTCCTCCTGTTGTTGTGATGGCCCTCGTTCATCGTCATCCCTTACTAAGCCAACTGATTTCTTTGTGTATTTCTTCCTCTGTATAGGAGCAACTGATACTGGCATGAGCTGGTTGTCTGGTTGAGCTGCAGTGCCTGCCACTGGGGTTGAAGTAGCCGC